GGATTTTCTGAGTTGAGGCCCCTGGGCGCTAACGCGGTCAAGTACGGTAAATTATAATTTCTCACCTCTATTGCTTCAAGATTACTTTGCAATCCACCACTGTGTGTGACAACACTAAGACCACTATCAATACTAAACGATGGGTTTCTACCATTTCGACCAACAATAATTCCTTTTGGCATAGTTCGAGATTTCTCATTTAAAAACATCATATCTGAGCCCTCTGCAAGTAGATAGGTTAATCAACACTTGTAATGTAGTTGTTAGAAGCATAAAGGAGTTGAATTGGTTGCACCCATCAACACAAAATAAGTGATAAACTGTCATACAACCATTCATTTAACAGATTCAGAAAAAAATCGGCATTCCCATTCTCAAGTAAAAATATTGAAAATAACGCATACTGCTGTCAGTTTGGCAAGAATTATTTGTATGAGGACATGTCTATCATTTAACTTGCCTTCAATACACCTGAACATTGGAGTAAGCTGAATCGATGCACAACTGCCCCCTCCCCAGTGATGAGTGCTTTCTCTGCAAGAAATGAAAGACTAGCATTATTCATTGTAAAGTGCAATATTGTTTATGCTAACTTGTCACATTCACAGCCTTTTAGCATGTGACAGAACAGGTGCCTAGAAAGCATGTCCTAGGTTAGGTGGCACAAGGCAAGATAAGGTCTGGTTAAGTCAGGTACATAGTGTTATTTTTGGAAACAAAGAGTTTAATTGGCAATAGCTGTGATTTTGAACATTCTTGTTTGAATATAACCACATAAAGACGATCACATTTTACTGAAACATTGATTTAGACACTTGGGCAAAGTGACCCTATACTAGGCTGATGTCACATGAAAAACATTGATTTAGACACTTGGGCAAAGTGACCCTATACTAGGCTGATGTCACATGAAAAACAATGAAAAAACTCAGAACCGAGTACCGTAGTCGTCATTTCATTGAAATTGGTCACATTATTATGGGGAATGACACATAAAATCATCAATGAGAAAGGTCTTGACATGTTGCCAAGGGGTCCCAGTAAATTATTATCTTGTACAGTATACATGTATACGCACATACTTGTACTAGGTAAATTTCAAGATGAAAATGACCAGTAGTGGTTGTTGTTTACACTAATCATACAAATCTGGGGAAAACATTTAATTTTGATAATTAATATTAATATAAATTGTGACATACCTTCCCCCTTTACTGAACCTAAGCTATGTAAATTTGACTTAAATTTGATTGAATATTAAAAATATAAATTATAACATTCTATGCATGGAACGGTTCCTGTTAGTTATCAAATTTAAGGTATATAATTTTGTTTATAGTAACATGTCAGAGAAGCTGATGCTTGATTATGAATTTTTAACATTACAATAACAGTCATCTTGTATCTGATCGTCAACATGTACTTGTCCATATTGAGAGATATTGCTCTGTAACAACGGTCACTCATTTTTAATTGAATAGTCAAACCGATACATCTGTACAACTATGACATGATATGTAATGAATATATAAAATTTGAATATAATCCATGTAACCTACCTAACAATGGGCGAGGATAGGACAGAAATATAAAAAGTCAAAAAAACGGTAGACATGCAACCCAGAAGAAGTCAGTGGCATATTTGAAACAGTTTTTTAAAGATATCGAAGTGAGTGTGTTTGGGTGCAAACAAGGGCAGCTAGAAGAACTATTTAAGACAGCTGAGAAATGTAGATTTCCAGTTGAAAAAGATGATTTTTCAGCGAAAATGAACTGTAATGAATATATAAACATTTTAACATAATCAGTCAAGGCATGTCAGAATCACATTCATTAAAACAAAATGGTCGCATTAAAAACAAAATGATGTGCATCAAGGTCTCATAATGTCCAATGTACCGGTATGTACCAAGTTTTAACAAACTCCTTCTGTAAACAGTTGAGATCCCGAAATGCCAGAAATGCTCGACTTGGATGATGTTTCAGCACAAAAAATGATCGTCATTCGGCCATCTTGAATCAGATTGTGAAACAAATTGATGTTTGAATGTAATCAGTCTAGGCATGTCTAAGATACAGTTCCGAATGCACACTTGCATGCACAGAAGTCAATTCTTTAGTCCCCGTTTCCGGACTGCGTCCAAACAGGGACTAAAAATAGGGAGGGTTGTGACATGGTAGGTCTGTCGTTACTTAGTAGGTGTAAGGTTAAATGAAAGTAGTCATAATATTGACACCACAAATGCAACAGGCAACACATGGTATTGTAAGCAATGAATATCATCGTTTATACACCATCTGCCGCCATAGGTACTTATATATATGAGAAACCAAGAGATTATAACATGTACATGTACAACAGCAGAAAAGATGAGTGTCCGGATAAGCCACAGCCTGGTCTTTCTACCTTTATTGTTATTATATATCTGGTACTATAGGATACCATTGCAGTTACAGCCAAGTTATAAGATGGAAACAAATACGGTAAATAATCCTATCATGTATGTTTGCAGTAACAATGTATGAACCAATTAATGACCAACAAACTTATAACTATATACACAGGGACAATTTATTTATCCGTATAATTTAATTTAAATTCAGCAAAATTATCTATTCTATTAGAGATACATCAAGGCGAAAAATGGCCAATCAAAAACAGTTTACTGCTCACATCTGTTATATTTTAATAGACAGACACTTTACATACTGAGTGCTTTTCATTGAGTATTCTAATTTGAAATTTATCCCTTGTTAATCTAAGCCAAGCCTATGAATGGAAAAAACTTTTATTAATTCAATCAGCTTATCAGCTTGTGAGAACGTGAACAGAATAAATTTTACCCGTAGAGTCTGCGACATATCAGGTCAAGCTAATATTTACAATCCTGATATTATTTACTGACAATGAACATGATAATTTTTCTGGATCTAGATTAAGACAACAAATATTTTAACTAAGAATATGGTAGGGATAACATTGAACTCTGGGTAACATTGAACTCTGGGTAACATTGAACTCTGGGTATATGGTGTCTGGCGAACAGCTTTGCAGGTTTCAATATTGCCAATTTTTTGACTTTTCGTTTCAATTTCTGTTTGACTTAAAATTATAATATTTCAATTTTGTACTGACTAGCATAAATTCGCAAAGATTCACAGTTGTTCTGAATTCTTGCAACAAATACTACCTCTTGAAATCTGACCATGTAATTACCGATATTTGGCAAATTTTCATACTGGGGTAATTTATTGGCTTCTAAAATTGCAACCAATTTATAATACCGAATTCTGTCCATCTTAGATTTTTTTACTAGTACCTACATTTCTATGGTCCTACACACATTCAGACACATTGCATGCTGGGACACATACAAATAAAAAAAGCCTGTACCAAAATCCATGGCAACAAGCCCATATGGCATAGTCCCCGTTAGTTACTAAATTTAAGATAGTTTTGTTTTATAGTAATATAATTGGAACATAACATGTCAGAGCTATGGATCCAGTAGCTGATGCTTGATTATGATGATTTTTTAATACCAAAAATGGTTGACATTCAGTCATCTTGTATCTGATCATCAAACGAGTACTTGTCCGTATTGAGAGATTTTGCTCTGGAACAGCATTAATTAAAACAAAATGAGCACCAGTCAGCCATTTTGAATTTTGAGAGCGTCTATTGTACACCTGATTGTTTTGTGGCCTTAACTGAATTAACTGCTGCCCATCTGCATTTGCGGGTCTTGCACTCTTTCGCCATCAGTGGCTACTAGTATCTAACACACAATGAGTGTGAAAGACACAAGGTCACATAGCCACTTAAAAAAAAGAATTGCCAACTTTATCAAATTATACATGTAGCTATCCCATTCCTTTATTTTTTAGGATTCCCATACACATGTTAAAACAGACCTTAATGTGAAAACAAATTGGTTATGCAGATAAACAAGCTTGAAAATCTTTGCTGTGACTTCATCGACGTTTTCTAGGAGTTTATGTTTTTCAAAATACAAGGTCTCTAACAAAAAATAAAGTATACTTATTGTCGTCGGATTAACACCAAATTTTCATAGCTTTAATTTGACAATGACTTGAATGTGTCCAGACAAACTATTTTATGGATTATTTACCAATGTGTTGTGGCTTGAGTAGGGGCAATGCGACTAAAACAGAAATTCAGCACACTACTTTTTAAAACGAGTTGCTTGAATACAACTAACAAGACACATTAACTACAAAAAATGTAGGAAAGGTGAAAAAACAAGCCATGCATGGCACAGTCCCTGTTAGTTATCTGTTTAAGATTTATAGTTTTGTTTTTAGTAAAAGAGCTGGAATATAAACATGTCAGGAATATTATTATGATGATTGTTTAATATTTAAATGATTGACATTTGTATCTGATCGTCAAATTAAAACAAAATCAGCCATTTTGAATACATGTATAATGAATATATAAAATTTGAAGATAGTCAGTCAAAGCATGTCAGAGATATGGCTCTAGAAGCCCATTTATTAAAACAAAATGGCCACTAGTCAGCCATTCTGAATCTGATCTAAAAAATAAAATAACGTGCATCAGGAACCTGTAATGTCTAATGTATGTACCAAGTTTGAACAAAATCCATTTATAAATGCCAGAAATGCTTGATATTAGATTATTTTTTAGCACAAAAATGGTCACCATTCAGCCATTTTTAATAGGATGACATGATGTATAATGAATATTTAAAATTTGAACATAATCAGTCACAGCAAGTCAGAGATATGGCACTAGAACCACATTCATTTAGAACCAAATTATTTAAAACGTACTGTGTATACCGAAATAAATGTTGTATGCTAATTAAACATTTAGAAATAAATAAATAATCCAGGGATTATCCACAACAGCTGTGGAATATGTTGGCATGTTTTTTGAGATAAGTAGTGAGCTGTATCAACGCTTTTGTGATGAAACTATGGCACCAATCTTTCTATGTTCTAAGTATTGTAGTATTTGGAATTCCCAACCGGGAATTTTACACCACTCACATGTTTGGATTAAAAAGTTTTGAAAACCTTTATGATGAAACCCAGTAAATATGAAACTGCATTATAGAAAGGGTTTAAAATGATTACTACTAAATTAAATTTAATTAAAATCATCAAAAAGTTCATAATTTGTCAAGATGAATATTTAATTACACCATTGTGATACACATAATAATAATACCGGGTAAATAATAATAACTTTTGGCTACTGGAATTCTTTGTTTTGGATTCAGAATAGTTAAGTATTCTTCAAAATTGGATTTTGTTTTAAATGTCACTATTTTTTGGCTCCATAGATTAATATATTTTTGTTTTATTATTTTCTTAATGTGTTGTTGTGTAACTATAAGGATATCGCGGTGGGCTTGAAATAGGATGATTTTTTATTTCTCCAACGACAGAAGAATAATTTTCATGACAGAAATGCAATAGCTGTGATGAAAGAGTTGTTGTCAGTCTTCGGCGTGACATTGCAAAATTGCTGGCCCCAGTTATGG